ATCTTAGTCTTATCTTATTAATATATTATATTTATTTTATAATATCGCGATAAATTTAATTAATTAAATCATAGTTTATAGCTTATTATCTTCCTATTAGATTTAATAAGCTATATTTATATATTTTTTACCTTCTAAGAGGGATTATTATTAATTAGGTTAATAATATCCTTCCTTAATATCTCGCTATTTTTTATAATAAACCTTTTTAATATAATTTATCTTATAGTAATAATAATATTTAAGACTATAGTAATCTTATTTGCCCTTTTATATAGCTCTAAGTATTATAAGGCTAGCTTTAATATTATAAGAGGTATTATTACTTCTTTTCTTACCTTAGTTAGTATTAAACTATAGGTTATTAGCTTTATTACTTCTAAACTTAAGGTTTTAGAATTTCTTTTAGGAGAATTATTAGTTATTAATTTTAATTACTTTACTAATATAATTAATAAGGTTACTAAGTTATTCCTCCTTATAAAGTTTTATTTATATTTCTTTTTTAAGTCTATTAAAGAAAAGAGATATTAGGGGTTTTTAATTTTAATTAAGCTTTAAGGTAAGTTAGAGGTATTTTAGTTTATATTCCGAGGTAAATTAAATCTATTAGAGCGCCTTAATCTCCCTTTTAGCTTATACCTTTTTATTAATAATCTTAAAAGCTTATTAAAGCGCTACTTTAAAGGCTTTATAATCTAAGTAGAGGTAATAGATATATAATAAATATTAATTAGCTAGGACTATAAGGTATTCCCTTATAATAGGTTTAAACTATATAATAATATAGCCCTGAAGCCTACTTATAATATATTAGACCTTACTTAAGGCTAAATTAAATTATATTAAGTAATATATTATAAATACCTTTAGTTAAGTAAGGAATATGAATAGCTTATAAGTAATTCTATTAAAAGGTTCTAAGAGGTTTAATTTTAGGATTTCTCTTATATCTCTTTTATTTATAGTAATAGCTATTATATTACTAATATTTTAGATATTATCTAGGTATTTTATATTCTAGATATATTAGGTTTTATTTATTCTTTTAATAAAGTTATATATATTTTCTATTTTAGCGCTTATAATAGTAATTTATATATAAAGTTATTTAATATCTTTATTATTATTATTATTTTTATTTTTTATTTCTTTATTAATTAAGGTAACCTAGGTAAATATAAATAAATAATTAATAAGTAAGACTTATTAATAGTTATTTATAGGAATTACCTAGGTAGCTATTATATTTAATATTATTTAAGGTAATATAAGTAATTTATTAAATAAGAGCTATTAATATATAATAATTATATATATTCCTAAGGGATAAACTAATTATATTAGGTTTATATTAATAAATAAAACTAATCGTATTATACTTTAAATAAGGGGGTATTATATCTAGTAATATACTTAAGGTATTAAATATAATTAAATTATATTAATAGCTAAGGTAGCTAATATCTTAAGAAATATATTAATTATATCCTATATACTTAAGGTACTTATTAGTAAAAAACCTATAATATTTACTTTACTTACCTAAATAAGGTTATTATAAGTAAGTATCCTATAGGAGTACTTACTTATATTATAATAGGTCCCGCTTACTCCTATAGCGAACTAGTTATATAATAGGATTCTATTATATTAAACCGCCTAGCTTAATATTTAGCTATAATATATAAGCCCCGCTTCTCTAAAAGCCGCCTTAATATTTCTTTTTATTATAGTAGCCTAAAATATAATATAAAAAGTTAAAAAGAACTTAGTCTTAGAAATATAAGTTATAGAGTATTAGATTAGATACTTAATTTCTCGACTACAAACTTTCTTAAGTAGGCTAAAATACCTAATATTAAGAGGCTAAAATAAATAAGATAAATAAGGTAATATATAAAGTATAATAATTTCCATTTCTTTATAATATCTCTTGAAATTAATAAAATAATAACTTTTATACCTATTAAGGATTAAAAGATAATAATAATTAATTAATTAATTAGCTATATATTAATTAAAGTATTTTAGCTATTTAAGACTTATCTTATTATTAGTCTAGCTATTTTAGCTTATTATAATAGCCTATTTGCCTAATAGGTTACTTTCTTAGTACTAATTAGCGAGGTAATATTAACCTATACCTATAATAAATAGCAAGATTACCTAGCTTTTAATATTAATTACTTAAATAATAATAATTTATTTCTAGTTTTTAGGCTATATTAATTTTAGTCTTTTATATCTTTTTATACCTATAATAATTATTTTATTTATAATAATACCTATTATAAAGTTAGTCTTATTAAAGTTATAGATATTAGCAAAGTTAATATTATATTTCGCGATTATATTCTCTATAGGCCTAAACTAGCTATTAATAATAATTAGATCTTCGTATTTAGCCCTCTAATAGTTATATCTATAAAAAAAATATATCTTAAGCTCTTTATGCCGCTTAATAAAATTAGAAGCTTAGCGCTTACTAATAGGTAATATATCGCGGTCGGCGAGTAATTAGTTAGTTATTTCTTCTATATTACATAGTCGCGGGGGAAATCCTTATAAATCTAGGTTAATAATAAACTAAACTATGATTTGTTCCTCTAGATCAGAGAGTCGGCGCGACTTTGGAATTAGCCTATGCTTAGAGATCTTATAGAGCTTTTCAGCACGTCGGATGCTTAGCTTCGAATTATTTTAAAGAGCTTCAAGGGGAAGAAGAGTTCTAGCCTCAGTACTTAGGTTCGACATATTTCGTGGTTGAAGAATCAATTAGTTAAACGAAAAGTTAGGTATAAGAGGGAAAAGTGCGACGCATACTTGGATGCGATGCATGCTTATTATGTACGTTAAACAATAAGGTTAGGCATGCTAGTAAATGAATATATTCTCCTGCCTACCTTATTACATCTTAGATAAACCTAGTTCCTCGTAGTACAGAGCCTCCTTGCCCGATCCTCCATCCCTAGTACACATCGACGCATCGACGCCTCTACTACATATCCCAGACCACCACAAAATTATGTCCACGCAAAAGCCATACCCGCCCGGTCCGTATCAAGCAGCGAGGATGAGTTCCAGCTTTCCCTGGCATGCACAAATAAGGAGCCCGCCGCGTCTAGCTCCTAGGCGAAGACTCGCCGCAGTCTAGCTGGAAAATCCTCCTCCTGGGGCAACCGGCCGTTACTCAGACTCAAGTCCATTGATAATACCAGCCGAAGGTACAGATTTGGATTAGAGCTGAAAATGTCTGGCCACCCAAACGAGTCATTTGTTCCCGCATCCGTCGTAGGCTGTAAGCATTCTAGCTCAAGGAAGCCGGCAATATGTTGCACTGCGCGGATAACAAAATCGGCGCTGTCATACTGTCCGTAACATGTCTTGATAGTTTGGATGACAGCTTTTAAGCGCAAGTTCTTCTCCAGAATCTCAGAATTCGACGTCGCCGAGCCCGAGGATGTCGGCAACCCGGCGAGCTTAACATCCAACATGTGGAGAACCAGCGGCGTTGCGATGCACGCAACAGCACTGCTGGGAAGCCATCGGTCAAGGTTCATATGGTGCAGCGTCTGGAGTGACTGGGTCACTGATAGGGCAGCATCCTGAATCTCCCATTGGTTTTGAGATCCTGCTGGCCACCCGCTTGGAATGTAGTCGCACGGTAGACTGGTTTGGCTTGCCAGGCTTAGAGCCTCGTAATGACAGAGAGCAATCCATGATGAACTAAATCTCAGTCAGTCTTGCTTGTGAAGCTGTATACGAGTCAGGCTTTTCGTACTGGTAGTATATATAAATCAGGTTAATGTACAACGTTACCGAATAGTGAGGAACCTCGGTGTTATTCGACACTGCCAGCGTCTCTGTGCGTCTGCCGAGCAAGAAGTGAAGAGAAAAAGAGGTTTTCTTGTCCCATTCCCTTAATGAATTCTTGGTATCCGAGATTCTTGTTAATATTGCGGCCAGGTCTGGTCCATGTAGACGTTGCTTATCCATTGGGTAGACCAGCGTCAGGACATCAGTCAGAACGACACAAAGGTCGGCAAACCTCTCTAGAATACTATTTAGGCATGCCTTTGAGGTTTTACAGTATACTCTGCTATGCCGGATCTCGTTTTCTAGGTCCGCAGATCGTAGTGGTGCGTAGAAGGCAGAGTCAGTGTGCGCTGGATCGATCTGGGGTCGTCTCCTGAGACACAACGAGAGCACCCTGTCTCGGATGATGCAACACCACCATAGTCTTTTCAGAACGCTCTGAAGATCCGAATTGTCCGTTTCTATGGGTGCCGAGGAGGGCGCGTGCCAGGCTGCTTCTGCGATTTGAGCGTGTTGAATAGCGATGTTCAGCCAGGAGATGTTGACCTCTTTAATGCCGAGGTAGGTTGAAGAGGATCTGAAGGAGAGCAAGAGAGCGGCTTGTGCAATGCAAATCGACGATGACTCACTTCCGAAATCATACAGATGCTGCGAACAAGCATGAGCGGGTAGTACTGGAGTTTTGTAGAGAGAATCACCTTCGCCTTGCTGTAAAAACCAGCCTTTGCTTCCCTTAGACTTGAGAAACCAAGATTCTCGAGTGTTTCTAAAGGTACAAACTGCTCAATGTTTAGCCATAGTCCTTCGTGAAGTAGAATGGTGGACATACGTTGCAAGCTGCAAATAATAGCGCTTGGAAGACCAGCAGAGATATTTTCGGACCTGATGCATCTGCGGCCGCCCACCGTCGAGAATACACGTCCCAGAAAGATCGTTCATCTAGTAACGGGAGAAGAGGATGGACATGGAGGAAGTACTGTTGCACGATAGAATCCATGGTTTGCCGTCGCGGGACAAGAAGGCAGCCTTGTATGTCGAGAAAGTTTATCTCTTCGGAGGGCATGTTGGCAAGATTGCCGATACTGAGGAAGTGATAGTCCAGATAGAGCACTGAGTCTGCGGCCAGCTCTACGCAAAACGAGGGTTCGAAGGAGGTAGGGGTCGGGGGGTTGAGCGCATGCGGCGATGTCTCTGCGTCTGATGTGATCTCATCAGCATGTGGCGAGTGACCCCAAACCGACTTCTTCAACAGCCGGACCCTGTCCTTGAAGCCTCTGCTGAAGCCGGATATGTTAGCGTAGCCAGACCTCTGGGCGTTGGGAGAGGTACACTCACGCTCTTTTGGTGGAGGGCAGAGTTGTGCAGGTTTTGCCACGCAAACAGCAGTTCGTACATGGCCCATCTTTCTTCGAGACATCGCAGCGGACCTTTCTCTCACGGCAGCGTAAGCACGCCCAGGGTGCTTTCAGCCGTGGTCGGGAGGCCTTGAACTCGGATTGAGAGATGTCTCCCGGGCCGAGTGGCTCCATGATTGACACGCCCGTGGTAGTGTCCGTCGCGCAAGAGATCCTACCTAGAGGTATTGGACAATGTCACGAGCCCTTCAAATCGTCTGAACGGCCTGCAAAATAGTAAAGTTGGAACTCGTCTGACTTGGTGACTGCACGGCAATGGTAAAACGAGAAGAGGATCAAGGTCAACAAAGAATTATGTGGCGTTGCTGTCGATGGGCCCGCAATATCAGAGATATGGAGAAGAAGAAGAAAAAAAAAACAGGTTCTTGGTCATGGTTGAAGCAAGTCCCGGAGGGAGCCGCACTACTTAGAGTATGCTGTCGATGAGTGCAGTTGATGCGGTGGAGAGCCTGCAGAGGCTTCTTAGTGTGTCCTCGGATCCGTATATTCGCAAAAGTAACCTCGGATCCGTCAAAGATTGGTCAGTCGCCTCGACCCGCAGATCTTCACCACAGACATAACCACCTTACTGTCACATTGCTGCCATCTTTGGAGATATGCAGCATAATTGCAGTAAGCTAAATTTTGACAGGTCCGAGCTAGCGATGATCCTGTGTCTTGATTGGTATCTCGCTTCGAAGATCCAGCCGCAGCGGATTCTTGGGAACCAGGGTTTTTCGGAAGGCTAATCGGATCCCCTCCTTTCATTACCCGATTGCATTAGGCTACCCCGCAGTTTTGTCAAAGCGGTTTGCAGGGCGACTGGCTTCGGCCTACCGTACCTGAGCCGGATCCGACGTAGCAGACGAATATCCCTGTTCGCCCTTCCCTTAACTGTTGGGTTAGTTTTCACTCTGCTTGTTCGGCGAGCAGACGCGGAAGGGCTTGGATGTTCTTGAATCCCAGCCCTCCGTTGCCACCGTGGCCATTTTCCAGCCTCCCCCTTGCTCCCTGAGCATCGGTGTTCCAATACCAATCCACGTACTAGGAACAGCAGTACCCAGTCGCCCAAGGCTGATGCTCTAAGTCCACCGTGCTATACCCAACAAGATTGGTTGATTGGCATTGGGCTTGAGCCAGATTTGTAGACACGCCATGCGGACAACTCCCGACCTTACCTAGCATCCTACTAGGCCTGGTCCCACCAGTCAGAATTGAAAGAGCGCTTCCATTCCGTGATTGCAGATCGTTCGACTAAGTGATTTGATACAGCCCGCCGTCTAGGAGTAGGAATAGCATGAGTTGGGACGTCAATCACGCTCTGCTTTTCTAGCGAACAACATAGGGCACTCCTTAAAGTGCAGCTAAAATAGAGTAAAAAACAAGCTATAGTATTATTGGCTCTGAGAAAAGAAAGATATGAGCTGAAACTATCAGACATGCCAAGGTGAGAGCCCAACCTTTCAAGCCCGTTGTTTCAAGGCGACAAAAAGAATAACGAACCTAGCCGTGGGGCATATTCCGATCTGCCACCCTAAATACCGTTCCTCAAAGCGTATACCGGAATCCCTCTAGTCCTCCGATAATCTTACCACCGGCCGCAGCGCGCTTGTTCGCTCTGAAAAACTTGACATCTAGCGCTAGGGTGATGAGAATAATTAAGCTACTGGCGATCATCGCAGCGTAGATTCCTGGCCGATACCCAGGCGCATCCTGGCTGCGGAACACGGTACTACCAATGATACCTCCAATGCCCCCCGTCCCAACCAGGGTAGCCGAGCAGAGAGCTCTCTTCCATTGGCCGCGAATATTATTGGCTTGCCAGGTCAGGATGCAGGGGACATTGGCGTTGCAAGCCGTGGTGGTGACGAAGGCTCCAAAGTATCGTGCGCCCACGTTGGTAGCGAAGCCGAGCAGCGGCAGCCCTGCAGAAGCGAGTTAGCGCCAAGACCTCAGACGAGTTTCATAGGGAGCCGGGCGTCTCATACCAATGAGGAGCAGGCAGCCGTTGAACACGATAAACGGAGAACGAATTCGATACTTGTCGCTCAGGTACGCCATAGTGTACATGGCAACTCCTGCAGCGATGTACGGAGGCGCAATGAGGCATTGAGACACGGCGACACTGAATCCCAGACCATCTTTCAGGATCAACGGAAGAAAGTAAGCAATAGCGTATGTGTTGACGGTAGTGAGACCAAAGAGTGCGGCGAAGCCCCAGATCTTGAGGTCATAAGCATTTGCCATATACTCGCGGAGAGAAAAGCTACAGGGCCTAAATCAGCCACAAAGTCAGGGACAGGCGTTTCGGCAAGGGCCTACCGTTCAGCAGTGGCGTCCCCTCTGTCCAGTTCGATTCTTGCCACGATAAAGTCGGTCTCTCTCTTGCTCAGCTTGAGGCCCAAAACATGGCTCACAGCGTCGGGGAAGCCCAAGACGGTGAGGTAGGCGAAGCCAGCCACAACACAGGTGAGCACTCCCTGCAGGATGAAGATCCACCTCCACCCCGATATTCCGCTTTGTACAGTTATGGCGCTGGTCTCTTTGTCGACCACGACTCGGCCCCACCAGGAAGGACCGGCGCCATGACCATCCAGCTGCGAGAAGCCGAGAGCCAGGACGCCTGAGAACGCAGACATGGTTGTTCCGATGAGATAGAACACGGCGTTTCGTTTCTGGAGCTCGTATCTGGGATACCAACAACTGAGTAGGTATGCGCAACCTGAAGTCTGTCAGTTGCTGGCGGCGTGCGGCATCATCGCCTCATGTGTACTCACCTGGGAAGAATCCAGCCTCGCAAGCCCCAAGGATGAGCCGGAGGGGGATGAGCTCGCTCCAGTTCTTAACGAACCCACTCGCGATGGTTGCCAAACCCCAAACCAGCGTTGTAAGTGACAGAAAAAGGCGTGGTCCTACTTTCCGTAGGATGGCGGTCGACGGAGGCTGGAAAAGCACGTAGGGAATGAAGAACAGGAGCACGACGATAGAGTATCGGCTGCCCGTCATGACCAGATCCGTGCTCATGCCAGAAATCATCGCAATTCCAGTGTTGTTCCTATCCATGAGGGAGACACAGTAGAGGAATCCGAGCGTTGATACCAGGCGGACGTCAATGCGGCGGATTGTCCTCTTCTGCTCATCAGGAGTCAGAGCTTCGACCGCCGCAACGTAGGCAGCCTGGGCAGCATCGCCGTCACAGGAGGTTGCGAGCTCGAGCTGCTCGCCAGCAGCGACGTCTTTGCCGGGTGTATCGTATTTCGCCATCTTTTCAGACGTGCCCAGAGAGGTGAGTCGTAACTGCGACTATTTTATAATCTGCGGAGAGATGCTAAAGGCTTGAGGTAACGAGGCAGAGGTTAGGGTGCCGGGCAGCCTAGATATAGACAGCCCCATTCACTAGCAATCCAAGACATGCCAATGACTATCGGATCCGGATTCAGGCGTGAAGCGGCCTTGGGCTCTCTCGGTTCTGCCAAGTATTCACCTTCATCTTGCAACTGAGGGTTGCCCTTCCAGAGTGTTTTGTCCGCATCAAGTAGTCAAGATGCACATGGTTAGGTCCATGCCCTGCAACGTTCCTTGATAGCCCCTGTCATAATCCTGATGAATTTTCAGCTGCAAGAGATAAACATCGGATCCGGTGTCGCTTGCTCCATACTTGCCACCCCTGGAGCAGCTGAATTGCAACCCTTACAATGGTTCCTTACTTTACCCCGCAAAGTTCAACCCCATACCCCTCAAAAAACTACTGCAACTCCCCGGATTTGTGGCGTTCGCAACTTAACCGAGTACTACGATAGTTCCTCAGACAAGGATGGCGGCTTGATGAGGTCTGTGCGGAAACCACATCGGGCCAGGTGCTGCCCATTCCGCGATGACAGAAATAAGAAAGTAGGTGGCCCACCAGGAGGTTGGCCCAATCCAGTGTCAAGTTTTCCGCTTTGATGTCGGTCTCCATGATGAACTTGGAAGGCGGGGGACTGTTATCACCTCGGCGGAATTGCAGTTTCTAGAGGCGTATGCTTGAGACACTAGCTGGAAACCGACAAGTTTCTGCGATCAACAGGACGAGAGGCTTCGCATCGTATACGAGTTACTGAAAACATGACCCGAGTTCACTTGGGTGCGAGCCTTGGACGATATTGAAGCTCGGAACCGTGCCTTCCATGGTAGTCACGAAGCCCTCCTGAGAAGATCCGACATATTGACGGGCATGAAGAAGGATGAACATCTCGGGAAGAATGTTCTTCAGGAAAAGTATATTTATCCCCCAGGCCTCCCCCGAGAAATGCCCTCTACTCAAAAACCCACTTCGTCTCAAAGTGGTCCCCTTCTCCAGTCTGGATAACTGAGCTCTACCATCTCCATCTTCCTCACCATGTCCAATCTCCTTACACTCGCAGGCCTCGCGGGTCTTGTTGCGCATGGCGCGCTGGCAGCAAGCCTGGGTGCCTACAACGTCGATCCCAACAGCGTGTCCGTGTCTGGGATGTCCGCTGGAGGGTTCATGGCGGCTCAGCTCGGCGTTGCCTACTCCAGTACTTTCAAAACAGGCTTCGGTGTGTTTGCCGGTGGCCCCTACGACTGCGCTCGTAACCAACTGGTGAGACCTCTGACTTATACTCAGCACTTGCGCGCCGTGGGGCTATGCTAATGTTCGTCACTGAAACAGTACAGCACCTGCATGTCCAATCGGAACCCGTCCATCACGAAGCCAGTCGCCAACATGAACTCCTGGAGTGGGAGTCAAATTGACCCTGTCGCCAATCTGCAAGATCGCCAGATTTACATGCAGGTTGGATCTGCCGATACAACCGTGGGGCCGAAGCCCATGAATCAGCTCAAGGCGCAGTTGGCCAACTTTAATAATCCATCCAAGGTCTCCTTCGTCACCACCAGCGGCGCTGCTCACGTATTTCCAGCCGACTTTGATTCGACTGGCAACAACCAGTGCGGGCAAGCAGCGTCCCCCTACATCAGCAACTGTGGTTACGATGGTGCAGGTGAAGTGTTGAAGTGGATGTACGGTGATCTCACACCCAGGCAGAACGGACAGCTCTCTGGCAGTGTAGTATCCTTCTCCCAAACAGGCACCTATGGCGCCTCTGGAATGGACAGCACTGGATATCTCTACGTTCCACAGGCTTGCCAGAGTGGTTCCGCATGCAAACTGCATGTGGCTCTTCATGGATGCCTGCAGAGCTATGGCAATATCGGAAACAAGTTTATCAGCAACACAGGCTACAATAAATGGGCTGGTAAGTTAGACTTATTTTGCTGTTTCGTCTCTGGGCCGTTGGCTAAAATAACCTTGATACAGATACGAACAACATCATCATTCTCTACCCGCAAGCCAAGGCTGACTCTTCGATCCATGTAATCTGGAGTGGACTTTACCTTAGCAACCCTAATGCTTGCTTTGACTGGCTCGGTTGGTATGGTTCCAATGCTGATCAGAAGGGAGGTGAGTTACCTGAGTTTTGCCTGTTTGAGAAGATTTGTCCCACTGACGCATGATGTCATTTCGTAGGCGTTCAAATGGCGGCCATTGTCAACCAGGTGAACAAGATCACGAGTGGTTACTCGGGCTAGTGATCATGCCACTACTTCATCGGGAGGTTCCTCGGGTACTGCCAGACCAACGGCCTTCATCTACCAATTCGTTGGCTCTGCTACACTCGCTCTACTCGTGTTCAGGCAATAGGTTTAACTGGCTGGAATGGGAATCCATTGTACCTAGACTCCTTCCTTCGTCAGGCTGGAAATGACAATTTAAACTGCCGAGCAAATAAGAATGCGTATCTCATATCGGATTAGTCAAGGGTATATGACACTCTTTACTACCTAGTTTCGTGATAAACAAGCAGACAAAGGCCTACAGCAGAATGAAGGGACTTGATATTCCTTGGGACTCTAGACCCTGCCGTCGCCTTGGCCAACATTTCTTCCTCTGCTTTTTGTTGATCGTCATAAAGGCTCTAAAGACGGCATCGGTCACAAGAGCAAAGAACACAGTTATCAACGCATGACGGCATTAAACACCATTCCGTAAGCACTGTAAATTTCTTCTATTGCTGCCGAACTGCAGGAACATCATATGACTGCCGTGCGTCTCGAGGATTTTGTACCCAAAGACGGAACTCTCCATATTCATTCTCGGCTTGATCAATACGTGCGTCCGAACAAGCGGTTGGTCTGACAAAGATGCTGTCGGATCCGAATGCAGCGGGAAGAGTAATGCAGTCGGTATCAACGGAAACGTGCTTCGGATCCGATGGAGGATGCGGGATGGCATTGGCGAAGCAGTCAGGATCCTTCGTGTAGCCAGCTGCGCCAGGCGGGCGTGAAAATCCATTGACGGGTTATAAATATAAGCTTGGGAAGGATACCAGCCACCTCGCAGGACTCGAGAGGGAGCCTTGCTCATACACAATGCCCCAACCCACGCCCCTCACGTCTTGCCCGGAATGTTTCGACCCGTCAACAATCCCCTCCGAATCCAGGGCGTTCAATCAAAAGCTGATTGAACTTGCTCTCAGTGCTCCCAAGTGGACGGAAGTGGGAGCTGCCGAGTATCGGCGTCTACGCGCGGCTGGGAAAACTGTTCTCCCTGGTCCAACTCTCCTGGCATCCGCAACCGCGTTCCAGATACCTTCGCGCGACCCGGATCGCCCTATTCCATGCCGACTCCTCAGGCCGCAGAACAACAAGCCTTTGTGTGCCGTTTTCATGCACATCCATGGTGGCGGGTGGGTGCTGCAGGACGAAACATACCAAGACCCGAGGCTACAGGCCATAGCTGATGACCACGGCCTGCTCTGCATCTCGGTCGGCTACCGGCTCGCACCTGAGCATCCTTTCCCCGCGGGACCCGAGGATTGTTACGATGCTGCAGAATGGCTCGTAGCCAACGCTGAGGAAATCCTTGGGGCGCCACTGGGTTTCATCGGTGGGGAGTCTGCCGGCGCGCATTTGTCGATGCTCACAACTATCCATTTGCTACAGCATGATAAGGTTGAATTCTCCAGCTTTCGCCTCAGAGGCATTATGCTTCATTTTGGCTGTTATAGCGTGGACTGGACGCCGAGAGTCTATTCATACCGCCGAGGACAATCCTGTCTCGTTCTGGACCGGGACAGTGTGACTGACTTCCGGGAGGCATTCCTACCAGACTGTCCGCCCGAGACGCTGAAGGATCCTCGCGTTAGCCCTCTCTATGCGGATCTGGAGAGCTTGAGAGGAAGGCTACCCTCGGCTCTCTTTACGTGCGGCACTGAGGACTGCCTCCTGGACGATACGTTGTTCATGAACTCCAAATGGTTGGTGGCAGGTGGCGAGTCGGTCCTTTGTATTATACCGGGTGCGCCGCATGGTTATATTATGTTCCCCCGACACTTGGTTGGGAGCGGTGCTGAGGCAGGAATGCGGGCTGTTGATGATTTCCTGGCAGTAAGAACCAAGATTGATTAATGTTAAGGTTGTATGACTAAGATGGTCTGATCTGCTGATAGCTAGGAGGTAGATACTATATAAGGAGCTATGCTTCTCTTAGACATATAAAACTTAGACCTTTTAATAATATAATACCTTCTACTCCCGTAGTATTACTTTATTAGATTATAAGCCTAGAGGGCATTATCTTCCTCTAACTGTAAAAGCTAAATATATTTTATTTTTTATTTTCCCTAGATAATATAAGAAGTTAAATAACTTCTTTTTATTATATATAAATATTTAGCTTAACTAACGTACTTAATAAGCGAGTGCACCACTTGTATTTTTACCTAAAAAGGCAAAATTAAAAAAATCCTTAAAATTCGAAATATAGCTTAAATTAAGTAAGACTTTAATATAGTATTTATTACATAATATGTAGTTTTATATTATTTTCTAAAGAACTCTAAGAAAATTCCTTATAGGTGTCGGATACGAGGGTGGTCCGTCAAGATGAATAATGATCTCAAGATAGAGAAGAACAGATTATTGATTGATTCAACTCTCCCTGCTCGTCTTCGTCCTTCCTCGTCCTCATTATATTCGACGAGACGAGGCTATGATACGAGACCTGCCGGACCTGCAACAGATCTGTAACACCACTCTGACTCTTATGGTGCACTCTTGTGACAATCTGGGTAGAGGCATATGCAACAGTTCTTCGTTCTCCCTCGTTGTCTTTGTATCTGAGGGGGCAAGGCCAAGATACTAGACCTGCTGATCCTACAACAGATCTATAACGCTGTTCTGACAATTAAGGTATCATGGGGTGACATCTTCCCTTAAGGTGGCTGCCTATGTAACATCATCATACATGCCATTTCTCCAACAGCACTCGCATATTATGACGGTCAAGGTTCCCAACGTAGTAAACCATAACCTAATTGGTTTATATTAGCAATTATAACGGGGCGTAATACTAAGCATAGGGTAGCGAATCATATCTAATAATATTAAGTATTCTTAAGTAATTAAGTTATATTAAAAGCTAGAGAGCTATCTAGGTAGGGAAGTAAGAATAAGCGAAGCTATATATATTATTCTAATTTGCTTAGTTGATTATAGTCGAATGCGCTCTTATTCGACCTATTTGACTATTTAAGGTTAAGGTTTTACTTTTGATCAAATATAGTCGAACTCGTTCCTATTCGACCCGTTCGACCACATACTATTTCCACCGGGGTCTATTTATTCTATTCCGAGCTCTAATGTTTTCTGTTCGTATCCTGGTTGATCTTCCTACTCGTAACAAATCTAGAATACTTCTAGAAGGTCTCAGGGCTTTTAGCTTTACCCTATATCTCTCTTACTCTCTTTTTATCCTTATCTCCTTTTTATCTCTCTTTTATTCTCTTTTCTAGCTATATCTCTTATATCTCTTCTCTATCCCTTTTTATCTTACTTCCTAGCTATATCTCTTATGTCTCTCTTTATCCCCCTTTCCTAGCTTTATCTTTTATCCCTTATTAAGTCTCTTTTTTATACCTTAGAAAAATCTCCCCTCTTTAGTCTATAAGCTATACTTTTAGCTAGAAGAAACCCTCTGGGCAGGTTAGCTTAGATAGTAAATACTAACCCTATCCTAACCCTAAGCGAAAGCGCGTCTTCTTGCAGGCTTTGAGTAGCCCTTGCGCCTGCGTCTCCGAGATCGTACGCGGCCGCTTACCCTGGAGCAGCTGGTCGATCCCAAACAGAGACCGCCAGCTTTGCGACGCTCGGTGGGCATGGTGAAGTGAATTTGTCATAGTCAAGGTCGTGCTCCCGGCGTAGGCGTGGTTGAGTGTCCGGTAACTATGGTTGCTCATCCCGGCAAGATATGCGAGGTCCGCCTCGTCCTCCCTTCGATCTGCCGGAGGAGGGCGTCACGCGTCCCCGCCAGTATCTCGCTGTTCCTCCCGTCTATCATCCACGAACCACCGTAGTCGTCTAGACCCAGATCATCATGTAGCCTCCACGCCTCAATCAGGGCAATATCCTTCATGCCGAATAGTAGCTCATCATACAGAAGCGAGTATGCCTGACGGAATTCCGACACGACCAGCTGCGACACCTGTTCCATGTGCAACTTCGTTCCCATGTAGTCGATCGTCTCCTTGTCAAGGGACCAGCGAGCCTGGTGCCTGGCGAGACTAGTGCTGGATGCCGTAAAGAGGTATAGCCGCCACGGCAATAAGATTGACAAATATATCGCTTCTCTCGAGGACTCGCCTGCTTACTGGGCGGCGATGATCCTGCACCCTGGCCTCCAGAAGCGATGGATTGAGAAGTACCTTCCCGAAGAACACGGTCAGCGTATAATTCAGGGCTTCAAGAGATCCTTTAACGAAGATTACAACAAGCAAAGCCCTCCAGTCACCAAACAGATCACTCGGACTTGGTCAAGCTACCTTATCGACGAAGATTTCTACGATAAGCCTGAGGATCTCTTACCAAAGGATTAGCTTACAGAGTACCTCTCTTTACCGTTGTTACCGGGGGAGGACTCTCAAGAGTGGTGGCGCCGACACCAGGATTCATTACCTAAGCTAGCAAGAATGGCCTTCGATCTGCTGTCAATTCCGGCCACTTCGTGTGAGTGTGAGAGGTTATTCAGTCAGTCGAAATTGACGATATCGAAGCAGAGACATAGTCTGAAAGATCAGACAATCGAATTTCTCATTTGCTTGAAGTATTGGCTGGAAATGCGGGGGTCTTGAGGCAGGATATTTCCCTAGGGGTTTATCGCCGTAGCAGCGCGTGACCTGACTCACCTACAGATTCAATAGAATAGAATTGAATAGAATTGAACGGAATTGAGTAGAATTGAATAAAACTGAATAGAATTGAATCGGATCGACACAACTCAATCCAAATCAATTTCGCCGCACATGCCCTCAATTCAATCCAATCTGACCCTCAAATTGAGTTGAATTGAGTTTTTCGGAGCGCTGCGAGGCCGTTGCCCCCAGGAACGGCGACTTCTGGGTTGATAACACCCTCGTCGAATACAACAGGTGATTTTATTACTTGTTCAACAAGGAGGCGGCGTCGGAGGGAGAGGCCAGAGGCCTGGATAATCAAGACAAGTGGAAGATGTACTGGGACCACAAGCTGGCGGGGAGGGTGTTCCCAATGAACGTGATGTTCGGCGGGTTCATAGACGTGCTCGAACCCGACAAGGAGAAGAAGGAGAGTGAGGGAGAGGATGGGGAAGGAGTTCTGAGGAGTCTGAGTAGGAAGTGTTAGAGCGGTGTCGTCTTTTGTCGCGTGGTGTTGAACACAATGGCTCTTGGTGTCAATTAAAGCTTGTTGATTTGCTTGTTGGACTTTTCTAGTCAGTTCTGGTTTGAATCAAAAGGTTTGAACCGGGCTATGCCGCTTGCAGTGATTTCATTTATCCTTGCCTTCTCTATCCGCCTTCAATTACCTGAGTTGCAGTCAAAGACGTACTGAGTGATTCATATTGCAGTGACACTATTGAAACCAGTTCTTGTATGCTATACAAGGCAACTATCTAAGGCCCTCCATAGTCATAGAAACCACGCCGGCTTTTCACACCCAGGTCACCCCTCCGAAGGAACTTTTGCAAATACTCTCGGGGCTCGCTCGGAATGTCTCCGCGTGCATCGGCATAGTGCTGCTCGATGTCGTGAACAACATCTAGACCAACAACATCCATCTGCTCAAAAGGACCCTTGGGCGTCTTGAGCACGCCCTTGAACATGGCATCAATTTCCGCCGGAGTTGCAGCGCCTTCAGATGCTGCGAGGAGAGCTTCTCGCTTGATGGCTGCCCATATTCTAGAAGAGGCATTTAGTGAGTGTACTGAAATTAGTATTCTTCAGAATCAGAAACTTACCGATTGTAGATGTAGCCCATGGATTGGCTTTTGACGTGAAAAGGCGAGAAGCCATGTGCCTTGCACTGCTCCATCATCAACGGGATGTACGAAGGGTTCGTCGTTTCATGGCCCATGATCTCAATCTCTACATCCCCATCAGCTTAATTCTCGAACAGACATAAATGAAGTGAATATACTAACCGGCTGTTTCAGGAGGCCAGTCTGTCAAGTCAGCAAGTGTTGCACTAGTCGAGTTTGTCTTGGTACTTACAGGAGTGAGCACTCAGAAAGCGGTGCTCGTTCCTCAGTGTTAGACCCTCTAGTATCTCCGAACAAGCGTAGCTGCTGGAGTTGGAGGCGATGATTGTCCCCTCTGGTGCGAGAGAGTCTAATTGTGAGATGACCTTGCGCTTGAGAGGAAGTTGTTCTGGGACACACTTTGCAAGTCAGTATCAGCTGTATAGCTCATAAAGGGGTGCTCATACTTCTACTACGAGCCATGAAGCCTGGAGGGCTTCCCGCAGTGTCTCGGGTGTATGTGTGATGATTCTCCCCCAGCGAGCATCCTTCGTGGTATCCTCTAATCGAAAGCCCTCAATGGCTTTGAGGCTGGCTTGAAGCTGACTTTCTTGACCGTCGACAATATGGACATCATTCCCTCTACTTGACCACATGAAGGCAAGACGTCTTCCTTGCGTGCCAGCCCCGATCAGGGTGACTGAAGTTTTGAGAGCGATGGAGAGGACCATGTTGACGAAGGAAGGGAGGAGCTAAAGTTCAGGTTGCAGCTGGCTTCCGGACAGATTTGGGGAAAATGAAGACAAAAGAAACTAAATTACTGGTCCAAAGTTAGCAATGAATTCTGCGCGCTTTGCATGTGGTTACCATTCAAGGTATTATAATCTCGATCGGATCCGGTTCTTGGTGAGATGACATGGGAAGCGTGACGAGATGGGCGTCCCTGCAGTGGCAAGCATCCCCACAAGAGATTGGGATCATCGGATCCGATTCTCGATCAGCGAGCGAGCTAACTTGATCGTTTGCCCCCACACCATCATGACCATTCCGCAGGGCGGAAAGTAGCGCGCACGAGACGTCATCCTGAGAGTTCGGTAGCGAAATGTTGACACGAGGCTTTCGCGGAAACGATATACGAGACTTCACCAACCTTCCCTTTAAGGTTACTCAAGTCAAGGCTCAATGATCATACAGCTGCCAGAAAAATGTTCCTGATCAGGGATAGAGCAGACTTTCTGCTATCAATGAAGTAAATTACACGGCATTCGTCCCCCAAGCTTTGGCAGGGAGATGATGGGAATATCAACACTAGAATACAACTAAAGCATAACTATCACCAATGCGACTTATTGTGCGTACATGGTAACATTTGGATGCTGTATCTGGTCCGGATTATCATCTGGTACGTTCGATACGAACTTTACTATCGCGGCTTGCACAGACTTGGAGCTCTGCGGAAGTTGTTTCAACGTGTCTTCAAGAGTTGATAACAAACTCTGATACGTTTCCTCAGTAATTTTCCCAATTCCAAAGTCGCGATCGATGGCCTTTCGCAGCAGCTGCACTCCAGCAACGGCGTGGTGAGGATACGGGTCGATGGAGACGATTGGGACCGTGATGGTATTTTCGTTTCCGCGGGTGCTCTCCTGGAGAGGGTCAAGGCCGTTCGGGCAGGGTCGCCGATGTGTAAAGGTATTGTGCAGACCAAAGGCTAGGGTATTCATCACCGTGTTCTCGGCATCGGTGCTTATGTCCGCAATATCGGCTAGTAGATCGTGACGGCCGGTGACTTCCATGACATCAACGGCCATCAAGATGCTGAGGTGATAGTGAAGCATGAGGGAAACTAAACATAGGTCAACAGAGGCCCTTTGAAGTGGAAAAAGAGTATAATTACACCAACGAAGTTTTGTTTGCTGACAAAGGAACTGCATCCGCTTGTGACACTCATCCAGAAGCGGACGGTATATCTTTTGAAACTCCTTGATAGAGTCCACCACAGCCGAGTACGCTCTACGCACTTCTGGTTCATCGTGGCCATCGCGGAGCGCTTCCTTGAAGATGGCAGTCAACTTCCACCCTAGTAACTTCCATCCCGCGCCAGCCGCGACGATCTGGTTTGCCCTTTCGTCAGTCATGTTAGAGCTCCCCCGACTCCAATGCTGTGCACTCTCGTCAAACATCTTGGCACAAGCCCTGACTAGACGCCACGGCAGCTCGGACTCGAAGCCAAATAAACCAGAAGAAAGCAATGGCCGACAGTTCAGTGTCAAGGATGCCGAGGTATCGAACGTCAGAGCTGCCCAGTAAGCTGTGCTCTCGGCGTTGATGAAGGCCGATGTTTCTATCGACTGTGGGGTTGTGACGATGGCCTGGGACTTGAGCGACGGGGAGACCTTGGAGCCGCTGAATTGAAGATTTCGTTGCCTAGCTCGTAGGCCCTGGACCTGCTGCAATGCTGCATGGACGCAGGCCTGCCCCGAGATACCATCAGCCTCTTCGTCCTCGGATATACCTTCTGGTATCGGCGTCAACGCAAAGAGAAGCAGCGATAGCATGGATCGGTAGGAAGGCCTGTTGATTATCCGGAGCATATCCCTCCTGGCATGTCGCCAGAGAACTTGAATGATGTCGGAATAATCGTGTTCGGGGTGTGTTTTCGGGGAGGTCATGGGAAGCCATCGAGCAGCGAAAGCAGCGATGGTGCTCTTTAGGGATTGCTCAATCAAGCAATACCTCTCGCTACCTCTTCCGGGCCCTGTGCCGTCGTTGGCGGCGGCATCTGCCATGCACCCATCAAGATGATCGCAAAGGTCGGAGACGCTGACATATTTGTCTGCGAGGTTGTGGCCGAATCTGATGCGGTCAGTACCCTGTCTCTCTAGTTAGAGTCACGGTACCGTACAAGAAGGGACAGCTGTATCGGCCCATCCATGAGCCAAAGACAGCCTCAAAGCCTTCACGATACAGAGTGTCTAGCCATTGCGATTCTGCTTCGCTAAGCAGACCTCTGTCTCGCGAGGTGATGATGGAGTATGTCGGTGAAGGCGCCACGAACGGAGTTGGCCCAGAGGACAACACCGAGGTCGTCAGACTGTCCCGGTGAGCACTTCGCTCTGAACAGAGGACGGGCCCCTCATTCCCCGTCGAAGCATCTGCTTCCTTGCTCCCTTGCGTCGACGACGTGTCACTGGGAGGATGAGACGCTGTCTGACCCCGTCCCCTACGCTTCACTCCACCAGACGCGCTTGTCTTGGCCTCCTGGAGCCACTGTACCGAGAGTGAGGGTCAGCCACGCGTGATAGACAAGCTTGGGATGAGCTCGCATACCTTGAAAGTACATGAGCGATGGCGGTTCTGGCAACGTGTGCAGGAACCGGCCGCTTCCCCAGCGGCGTTGCGGCTCTGAGCGTCACAGGCGACGCGGGATCTGCGACACTCGTCGCAGCTGGAGAACTGGGTGCGGCGTGTGACAAGATTGTCTCGCATGGTTGAATTCACATTCCCTTGCTCTGGAGCCAAGAGCTGCGTGAGGACGAAGAGAGACCGGATCCGTTGCTGGGAGAGCAAGCTTCCAGGATTCAAGTGGGGATGGGACGATGGATAAGCAAACCTCGAGATCCGGAACCGTGTCTAGTTTTAGATGCGGGGTAATGCAGATTAATTTGTCTGGGGTAAATATTGCCGGGGATAATCTGGAGATGAGACAGATGCGGAGGAAACGCATCCTTTAGTTCATCGTCTTTTGCAATGGCGTCTGGGCTCAATGTGACGTCGACGTCCAAGCGGCTGAGGCCATGCGTGACGCCTGCTGCCAAGGGGACGTTCACCGGGGGTTTCCCTGATCTTTGGGGTTTGCTGGCGCCGCCACACAAGCTAGAGATGAGCGACGGCGGCGTTTCTCAGAGAGCAGGGAACTTCCAATTTTAAAATCTGAACCGGTGAATAAGCCAAATTGAATGAGCAGTCTCTGGCCAATTGTCCACGGAAGGTCGCCATGTGCTGGCAGGGATCATCGGAACCGAGGGCATCTCAAACAAGGTTGGGGCAACCATCACAGGCGTCTAATATCCGGCCATGACACAATGCATCTCTCTCAAACTGTCAGAACTTCTCAGTGAAGGACGCTGCAGTCCGTTATTGATTGAGACAATGAGAGACTCTCTCAAGACAGGGCCATTCTGTCCCGCTTGAATGCGTGAATCGACTCACTCGTGCAGCATTGAGGAGGATTTTGACCACAGACCCGCTTACAAGGTTACATGAAAAAGTCAAACCAACCTTGAACACAACCCACAGACTGGGGTAACGCCCGCCCCCAAATGCGCCTTTCACAAGGGAGCACAGCAGCATACTCCTGCCTGACTCGCAATGCTATCCTCAGGCACATCGGATCCGATCCTACTCCCCCACAAAACAGAGGTGGAAACTAAGGTCATCAACTTTCGGTCGTTTGAGTTGCTTGTTCAAGACAAGCGCCCCCTGTAGAATGCGGGGAGAAACCCGCACCAGAACACCTCGACCATGCTCTCCCGCCCCCCTTTACCGAGCTGTCATCTGGTTCGGCCGGTGGATACCTCCTCGTCAAGCCGCTTACAATTGTGATAGACTCTGCTTTCTCTCGCCCCTAGTAGATCCTGAAAAGCTGTGGGGAAGAAACCATGGGGTAGACTAGGGGTGAGGACATACATAAGACCCTGATCATCCACATCGTTTGATCAAGATCCATCATCAGCAAAACAGGATCAACCATTGTTGAACTTTGGCCATCTTTTTGACATTTGGAACTCGAACTCAGTCAACGTCAACTTGCTTGCCATCATGGCATCATACACTCCTCCCAACGAGAAAGCCGACATGGTCGAGGCTGAGATGGGCAACACCTCAGGCACTGATCGCCTGGGTGAAGTCGAGCACATCAAAGGTCTGGCCACTGCGCCTGGAACAACCCTCGACTCTTTCTCTCATCTGGACGAGAAGAGGATTCTGCGCAAGGTGTGCTCACCCCGCAGCTCCCCCAATTCTCCTTGCTAAGCCGCTTTCAAGATGGACCTTCGCTTGATCCCCATGCTCGCGCTGCTTTACCTCCTGTCTTTCCTCGACCGAGGTAACATCGGAAACGCCAAGATTGAAGGTCTCCAGGAAGATCTCAACATGACGGGCGACCAGTACAACTGGTGCCTCACAGTCTTCTTCTTCACCTACGCCGCTTTCGAAGTCCCCTCGAACCTACTCCTCAAGAAGCTTCGCCCCAGCGTCTGGCTCCCGGCGATCATGGTCGCTTGGGGCGTCGTCATGACTCTGATGGGCATTGTCAAGAACTACCACGGCCTCCTTGTTGCGCGCGTCTTCCTCGGACTCACAGAGGCTGGTTTGTTCCCTGGTGTAGCGGTAAGTCTTCGCAGCGCCCAGCAACGGTTCTCTCTTCGCTGAATTCTCCCAGTATTACCTGACGATGTGGTACTGCCGACACGAAATTCAATTCCGACAAGCCCTGTTCTTCTCCGCTGCTTCGGTCGCCGGCGCCTTCAGCGGCCTTCTTGCCTTTGGCATCGCAAAGATGGATGGTGTTGGTGGACTCGAAGGCTGGCGCTGGATCTTCATCCTCGAGGGCATTGCCACAGTCCTCACCTCAGTGGTCGCATTCTTCGCCCTGCACGACTTTCCCGAGACGGCCTCATTCCTTACCGAGGAGGAGCGTGCCTTTGTTGTGTTCCGACTCAAGTACCAGAGCCAGCGACCTGTCAAAGGCCAAGAAGAGGAGGCTGGTCAAACGCGAGTTGCGGAGGCTGGTGAGTTCAAGTGGGCGTATGTCTGGAGCGCGTTCAAGGACTGGCAGATCTGGGTCAACATCTTTGTCTACTGGGGAGTAAGTTGCAGCGACCTGAAGCACGGGGAAGGGGTACTAACGAGTTACACAGATCGTGTGCCCTCTTTACGGCATCAGCCTCTTCCTTCCGACCATTATTCGCAACCTCGGCTACACCTCGAGCAGGTCTCAGCTCCTGACTATCCCGATTTACATCACCGCTGCTATTCTCGCTGTCATCATCGCATGGACTTCGGATCGGGTTGGAAAAAGGAGCCCGTTCATCGTCGTCTTCTTGTGCATCATGATTGTCGGCTTTTCGATGTAGTCTTCCTGACAATATTCTAATTATTCACCGGCTAATCAAAATTACAGGTGTATTTCTTCCGGAAACCCCAAGGTCGTTTACGGCGGCGTTTTCATTGCCACTTGCGCCATCTACCCTGCCTTCCCTGGCGTCATCTCCTGGCTGGCCAACAACCTGTCAGGAAGCTACAAGCGAAGTGTCGGCATGGCTATTCAGATTGGTGCTGGTAACCTCGGTGGTGTAAGTCTGACTGTTGTCTCTAATCAGCTCATCTGCTAACTTGGCATAGGCCATGGCATCGAACTTCTACCGATCGAAGGATGGTCCTCGCTACAAGCTGGGACATGCCCTGGAGCTTGGTTTCATAAGCGCTGGCATTGTCGCGGCTCTCATCCTCATCGTTGGATATGACCGCATCAACAAGAGCCGTGCTCGCAAGGTGGCAGCCGGCGAACACAACCAGTATTCTGAGGAGGAGCTCTCTGCCAAGGGTGACAAGGCTTTGACCTGGAGATATATGCACTAAGTTTGGACAAGTCTTCAAGTGTTGTTAATGATTAGCAAGCGAATTACGGCATTACTACGGGTAGTTTAAAGTCTTGCCTCGTTGAATACAATTAGTCGCAGAAAGGCCGACACCCCCAGTTCTCACAGTCTTGACTTCTCGCAGCCCAGCGCTGACCTCAATTCAAGTATCAAGTCAAGTAAGTCAAGTAAGTTGACCGCCCAATATATTTCAAGTAAGAAAGTTTATGATGCCACAAACTTGATTTACTTGAAATACTATATTTCATGGGTTTTCCTATGCGATGTTGTGTCGCGCAGGGATGCTGAGTGCACTTGACAAAAGGTAGTTCTTGTTATAGTGGTTGTAATTATTCTTAGTTAAGTATTTTTCGTCTCAATGAGAGGCCCTTTGGGGCCTTATATCTTTGAATGATCCCATCTAGGACTTTGAACCTTAATCGTAGGACTTCAAACTTTAATCTGATCCTGAAGCTTAGGGGGAACTCTCAGTTCTTCCAACAGCGATTATGGAAGGCATTAGTGCCATGCGACCATACCGCTTACGTGATCAAAAAAGCAATGCGATAATATCAAACGGCATGAAATTCTGAATACAACAGACATTGTCCCATGTCGATAACTTCAACCTTGGCCAAACGCTGTGTAATTGAAGTTGGGCATTTTGTATGGGGAAATTTTGTTTTTGCTTACCGGTGGAGGGGTACTGCATGGCAGCTCCCTTCACGTGAAGACAAGTTTCTTAGCCCTACAACAGCAGGACGCCGATGAGATACCTTCCAAATTAAGAGTGGTGCTGCTGATGGGTGATTGGCCGAGCCGTCTGGCGCTAAGTCTCGGTGTCCAGTTCAGGAGTAGATGAATGAACTTTGCCGGGGTACCTTGGTAGATTTACCACTTGAGAACCTTGGATAAAGCGGGACCCAACTCCATTCCATTGAATTTACAGAGGATTCATATTTCTAGGTGAAGCGACAGCGCTCTTGGATCAATATTTCACTCCGACAATTGTCCACGCTGACCTCATCTTCATCCCATCCTTGCCAGGTGCCTCCATGTATGACGCCTCAAACAGTAACAGTCCTCACGACTAATTTCCAGTAAAAGAAGGACCAGCCGAAAGCAGCAGGTAGCAGAGTATCATATCACTTTGGAAAATATCGGCCCTTGGCCGTATCAAACCAACCAACCGGCCCCTGCCCTGTGTGCTCCAGGTAGCGCCATTGAGTCTGACGTGTTGCCAAGGGATGCAATCAACAATCCCCATCTCGCGGAATTAACTGGATTCATGTTATCGTGCATTTACGAATCTATCCCAGCACTGCTCAGGGGCTAACCAGATGATAGCTTCACGAACCGTGGGGGAGAATAGGCAACCAACAAGATCTCGTAGGGGAATCCAAGCAGCATTACAGCGACACCCTTGCGCGCGGCGTCTACGCCATGATCAAGTTATATTCACCTAGGGCTGCTTCGAGACGGCCTTACATAAACGACCGTTGTCTAGGTCCGGTTCCTGTCATAGATCTCCTGATCCACCCGACGCCTTTCCCACCGGCCGAATCTCCCCCCGCCAGGTCGCGGAGTGAGACATGCGCAGCCTGGAGTAAGGTCTGCACGGACTGGAGGACCTTATGCGACAACACCAGCACAGGAAGGATGAAAATGTGGCGCGACCAACAGCCACGGGGGGACGTTACCTCGGGCCGAACCGCGCGCCTAAACCAGTTAGAAGGTATCTCAGCCCTGGGGTATCCGTCTTAGAAGTGGCCTTAATATATCTCAGCCTTAAATAAGATGGGGCCAATATCAGCCCTAGTCGCTGACAGTTTGTGTTCGTTCTCGCCGCAAGAGCCGATCGATATACACTCAGATGGTACATCGGAGAGCGTTTCCAAACAGAGTCAAGATGCCGTCTCACGGCAAGAGAAGCTGGGATGCATCAGAGGACAACGAGGCACGCATTCACCCTCACTCTCTATTTGCGTCTAGGTTTTCGTCCCATGTCCTCTACTGATCAGGTTGCTAATGGGCGATGTAGAGGGGGGCCTCAAAAGACTACCTAGGTGTGTTGCCTGACATATTTCTCTGCCTACTTTTAAATAGAGCTCGTAGCTAACTTGAGCTTCTTCTTGAATAGTATGCGATCAGTGTCGGTCACGCAAGATCCGATGCGGAAGAGAGCGACCTCATTGTTCAAACTGCATCAGACTGGGCCTAGATTGTGAATGGTTAGGGCAGGGAAAGAAGCCTAACCAGGCAACTTGGCTGTAAGTGCCGAGTAGGCCCAGACATGTTCCTATATCCGAACTTCGAAACTTATTTGTCACCGATGTTAGAAGCCCCGCAGTCACCCGCCTTAGCGATCGACTCCAAAAGCTGGAAGATGCTGTCTCTGGCTTGCAAAGTTCCAAAGACAGCCAAGACTCCGAGACAACGCCTCCCCAAGTTCCCGATTCACCGAATATAATGACTAGCCCCTCCTAGAGCCAAAGCTGCGTGATTCGAAACGTCGGCGGTCGCGAGCGATATTACGGGTCCACGTCTTTGGTCTCTCTGATACAAGATATAGCCGCGATCATACAAAGCAACATATGCGAGACAGAGAATAACCAGGCGAGCTTAACTCGTGCAAAGGGTGCACGGGAAGAGATTCTCCAGCTAGCAGAACCGTATCATATGTGCACACACGTCTCTGACGGTTTAGTCCTAATGGGTCCTCCCTTAGTCATAGTCGAGGCCATAATCGAGCCATATTTCGAGATAATTAACTCACATATGCCTCTATAGACCAAGGAAAGCTTCTATCGTCTTATAGCCTCTGCTAGAGAGACTTCTAATACATTAGATAAGCATGCCTATGATATATGCGCCAATAATCTAGTACTCCTAACCCTATAAGCCAAATCCCTCCATCCCAGAGCAATTTCTAGTAGAACCTATATAGAAACTTTAGGGGCGTCTTTGATTAATATGGATCTTATAAGATCATTCATTGCTAACGCAAAGCGGGCTTTAGAGAATATCGAGTTGCTGCTCCTTAACCCTAGTCTTCTAAGTTTGCAGGCACTCTTATCTCTGGTACGTGCCACTCTCCCGAACACGTTGACGATCGAATCCTGATGATAAATAGTGCCTGGTAGCGCAAACATCCCTTTCAGAGGATATTACCTCATTAGTATTTAGCTTTGCCGTCTACGTAGCTAAGTCTATCGGCCTACGCCACTGGAACTCGGCGAGCACTACCGAAAGAACTAGCACCGACGAGTGCCAAGAGAAACATCAAGTCATGTACTGCATAGCATATCTGAGCAGAGCCGTGGCCTGGTCTTCCGGTTTGTCCTTTAACTTACCCAGTGTTGGTCTCCTTGAGCGCAGCCTCTCCACCTCGCCAACCACGAGCCATCTCGCCACTCGGGTCGCTCTTTTGCAACTCGAGGAGCAAGTTTATAGTGGCCTATACTGTGATTATGCTACAAATCAAGGACCTGATACCATCGGGAAGGTAGCTTTCAGACGGGGCCGGCAACTCGAAGACTGGGCGGTAAACCACTCGGAGGACCTCGACGAGGATTAATATTCTGGCACCCTGAGCAATGAATTGCGGCACGATCTCGCAGTGAGGGTTTCTTCCATCCGGGCATTGGTTTCATGGCCCATTCCAGAGGATGCATCTAAATCTCTCTTAATACTCGACGTTGCTCGGCGCTCTCTCCGATTATTCCAGCGGCTCTGGATAGCGACCTCGGAAAGGGGACACTACCTGGATCTGGCCCTGTGAGTACCTTGATGACCTTGACAGACCATTTTGATGCCGTATCGTCCTTGGTGTGGGCTGACCACCGAACCAGGCTCGTCGCGTCGTATCCTCCTGTGTCCTTCTTCGAACTCTCTAGGCATATCTTGACTAGCCAATAGGCTTCCGAGGATGACTAGGAACTTTTGCACTCGTTTATGACCATAGTTCGAATATTTGCAGAGTGGGCTAAAGAAAACTCTTTCATGAGGAGACTGTCGAGATTTAGTGACGTTATGCTACGCTTGATCAACGCCAGCCGCAAAGACAAGCCATCAGGACAACCCGAAAGTCAGCCAACGTCAGTTGGCCAGGCTTATATACATACCTTGGAGCCATTTCCTAGGAATATGGCCCCCATAGTTAACCCCTACGGAGGGGACTCTGCCGCCTCTTCCTCCCGCACCACGTCCACACGCATCTCGGGGGTTGCTCAACTGATGCATCCAGCCTCGGATACAGAGCCGGTGTCTCTTCCAGCCGTTTCAGCTTCAGTCATGTCGTCGTCTTTGGATTCGTTTGATGGTGGGTTTGGGGGAAAGCTGAGCCCGATTGGTGACCTTGAGGGATGGATCGTGGAACCTGGAGCGCCGGGCGCGCCTCTACCGCCCAACTCGATGCCGAATTTTATGTTTCAAGATAGCGGTGCTTTTTCTTTTAATAGGATTGATCTTGGGTGACTCATTACTTGGGCGATATTTTTATTCGAGGTGGCTGCGGCATGACTTTCGTGTATTTGAGCCTTTTGAAGTGTCGGTTGGTTTCAAGGTTGCTCGGGTTAGGTACACGGCGCAGCTAGACCTTGAACAAGAGGTTTTGCAAAACCACATATCGTCAATGAGACTTTCGAACCTTCTTATCGCCCGCATAGCTTCATGTGAAGCCTCGGCACCCATCTGTGTACGCGGACTCTTACTGGGATCTTGATACTCCGCGGACGCCGAGCGGGTCGAAGGTGCAAGGTGGTGCGACAACTGAGCACTGCTGGCCAGTTTCAACCGCCAGATGATACCCTCGATGGGTATTTGGAAGCAGGAGACAGTGCGTATACGAACTGGGTTGAACCATCACACGAGTCAGTGTTTAGCAACCAGAGCCCCTGCTGCGGCTCTTAATGCCGCCTAGGGATAGATTTAATACTACATCATTACATAAAATACGCTTTTTATATTAAATATTTAAAGCAAGATACGCTTTATATATATTATTTCCCCTTCTATATTAGGATTAGCGCCTTCTATAGTAGGCTTAGTACATAAGAACAATATAAGTCCTTTCCTAACCTCCTTTTCTCTATAGCCTTTAACCGTCTATTAATATATCCCCCTAAAACTTCTTAATTCGACTCCCCACTACCTTTAGACCCTCCGTATATTTTCTATAATACCTAGAACCCCTAGAAGGCTAGCTAACTACTAGGTCTACTAAGAATTTATTATACTTACCTCTAATACTAATTTAGGTTTTAAGAACTCTTAAGTTAAATATAAGCACTATAGCTATGAGATAACTAAGGGTATTACTTATTAGAAGAAATACTTACTTCGCTATTATCCTAATTATAAAAGGTAATAATAGTCTTAGTAGCCTTAACTTATTTATTACTTTCTTATAGTAAATAAGACCTTTAAATAAATACTTAATAAGCTTATTATTATAATAATTTTTACTAATAGCTATCTATTTAACCTCTTTAAGTCTAAATAAATATAGATTCTATTAAGTAAATTAAATATTACCTAATAATTACTATATTATCGCTAAGTATAATAGCTATAAGCCCTAATTTATTCTTAGTACTAGAATTAAGTCTAGGCTATCCTCGACTAAGTAAAATATATTAATATAATCTTTAATACCTTAGATAATATTATAAGTTATTAAATTATTAATATCTCGATATAAGTAATAAATAATCTAATATTTTATTAGAAGATATTTAATATAAGATAGATTTAATATATAGCTAAGTACTATATTAATCTTTTATATCCTAAGCTAGAGATAATTTATAAGGGTAATTTCTTATAAATTAACTTATTTTATATAGATATATATAATATAATAAGGAAAGCTTATATATATTTAGTAATAAAAAAGGAATTCTAATATTACTTCTTTTCCCTCTGCGATTTATATAGGTTATAGCTTCTTATTAAGGATATCTTAGAGCTATTATTCTTTAAAGAGGTATTTAAAAATATTATATTAATTATTACTTTCTTTAAGAAAGCAAAATTATAATTAGCTCGATTAAGAGAAGTATAAAAGGCTACTTAGGGCTACTATAAGGCATTTTTATCTACATAGGTCTTTTAGTTTTTTTAACTCCTAGCTATAACTAATTGCTCGCTTTAGTATAATTATACGCTAAGGTAATTAATTTAATACTTTATAGTTAGTTTTATGCTATAAAAGAGCCTCTCTAAATATATACTCGCTATCTTAATATAAAAATAGAGCTAGCCTCTATCTCTCTTAAGCTTCTTCTAAAGGTATTAGAGTCTATTAATAACCCTTACTTCTAGATATACCTAGAGATTATTTTAGCTATAATTAAGCCTATTAATAGTTATTAGTATGCCTTAGAAGCTAATTAGGCTTATATTAGCTATATAATTCCTTATTAGCTAGAGATTAAAGTAAAATAGAAGGTACTTAATAATTCTTAGTAATATTAAGATATAAATTTTAGCAATTTATATTTTATATAGTTAAACTATATAGATAAATAGATATATAATATTTATTATGCGGGATTTATATTATAGCCTAATATAGTTAGGACTAAGCTTAAAGAATAATAAATAATAAAAGTATTATAATTCTTTAAGTTAGCGGTTAATCTTATTAATTACCTTTATATTATTCGAGAATTTAATTACTTCTAAGTATAATTAGGGGGCTAGTTTATTGCCAGGGGCTTAGTCTATTTAAAAGAATAGACGCTATTAGATACTTAGATATTTCTTAATAACTAGGGCAATAAGCTAGCTATACTTATAGTCCGAATCTTTAGAACTATAGCTAATTTAGTTCCCTTAGAGAGATTATTCTCGGTAGTTAATTTCCTCTATAGTAAAGCACGCAATAGGCTTATACTAGCTAATACTAATAAGTTAGCCTTTATCTATATAAACGAATAGGTATTAAAGAGGATAATATAGTCTTAAAATTAACCTCTTAATTATCGCAATAAGGTTAATTCTATAGTAATTAGCTAAGAAGATTTAATAGAAGATAGCTAATTTACTCTTGAAGATATATATATAGAAATCCATTACGTATTAAGTCTAGAAGTTAATATTATTATCAGCGAGTTTATTTATTAACCCGCCTCCGATAGAGAGGAGATAATTATAGGAAAATTTAAGGTCTAAGATAGGTCAAAGAGTAAAGAAATAGGGGGAAAATTAACCTAATTTAGCTTAGTTATTTATATTATATAACCCTTAGGCACCTTTATATATTAGTAGTTATACTATAATAAAAAGCGCGCTTTTTATTTAGAATGAAAAACTACTTTATTATAATAAAAAGTAGTTTAATATATATATGTATTAAACAAGTGCCTATCCCTAATGCCGCCAACCCGATGCCGTCCTCATCACCATCACCAGAGTCGGAGCCGGAGTCGGATTCAGAACCAGAGTCAGAGTCAGAGTCTTCTTCCTCATCTCTTGGCCGCAGACTCGTTTCCACTGGGAGCTTTTTGAGCTGCTCGTTGACCTCGATTTCGATGTTGGCGCCGCAATCGTACGTGTGAAAAGCAGGCTCATTCTCAAGCCAAAGCCTATCATACGCATGATCTTGGGCAAAATCTCGCCACTTCTCCATAAATAGCGCCTGGAAGGTTGTCCATTTGTCATGGGATAAACCTGATGACCGCCGGTCATTCAAGCTCCATGATGGTTCGACACCCTCTCCCAAAAGCTCTCCATCCGTGAAAATCTCAATGATATACTTTGCGAGTGCTTGTGCGTGGTGTCGTTCAGCGGCGCTGCTTCGGCGGGAAGCTTTCTGCTTTTGGCGACGCTGACTATGAGATCCAGTGAAGTCATCTGCGAGGCTCTGTACTGGATGCATCACGATGAACCAGAGTTCCCAGACGCCGCAGTGGCAATTCGGAAAGTCCTGTTTCGGATGTCGAAAGGCAAATTGGTCGTCACATGCTTGCCGACGTAGGATGAATGCCAATATCTCAGTGTGAACGTGACTTTATCGAAGAAGCCGCTTCGATTTGTGATCGGCCGCAGAGGTCGGCCGACAATGCCAATCATGCCTAGGTGAAATATGGGGAAGTACTTGTCGTCAGGGTCGGCTGCCTTGGACCCAGAAGCCCTCCTCCCATAATCCATTGTGTACCTCCGTTGGAACATTTCCAAGGCCTGTGAGGCGTCGAAATTTGACTCGTTCGTCTGTGCCAGAAAATGGTCGACTAGAGTGAGCACGGTAGCTGTCCGTATGATAACGAATCAATAAGAGCGTTCATACTAACGTTTCATCTTGAAGTTTCCACTTGAATGCCTGATTTTGAAATCATCCCTACCAATATTCGACGACCGCACTTCCTCGTCATCTACACTCGCGTACAGTTCATCCACAAAGCCAATGCCGGCGTAACTATCAAGACCACCGTCGTCACTATCGTCAGCTGTACTCGGGTTGACCAGTTCTTCCAAATCGGCAAGCTCAGCCAACAGAATTTTAGGCTCGTCCATTGTGTCTGTGGTAATATGTGTCAATCTCGTTAACTGATTCACTGAGTATCTCAACATTTGCTGCTCCTTCGAATGGGCTCTCTAGACGGGCAATGAGGCAGCTTCCAACCGGCGTAGAGTTGTCGTGTAGTCCGTGACCACGTCATATCATCCGTCCTGGCAGTACCGCTACCATGTCCGAACTTGCAAGCACTAAAGCTCGGGTTACCCTAGCCGACCCTCATTTTTGCCCAAAGGATATATGGCTCCTCTATTATTTTATCATTCGGTGTCGGCTAGATGAAGGGCTGAGACGAAGGTTGTTATATAGCCCTTCATCTAATCGAAACCGCTCGAGGCTGCTCCGTGCAGCCGCGTCAAAAGTCTTCACCCGATCTTTATAATAAAGAAGACCGGCCATCATGGCGGCTTCTATCGATATAGCTACGCCTAGCCTAGCGAATGTTCGGGACAAGCCCGAGTAGGTATATAACGTACTTATCAGTGAGTGCAACATATCAGCGAGTGCAACAAAAATCTCAACCAGTACTTACCATCCACGACCACCTAGTGGGCACCCCCACCTAATGCATAACCAAAATTTTAATCTTCCCGTATAAAATCTAAATTTTAGTGCATAAAAAAATAGACCATATTATTAATTAAAATCGAAGTTAATAAAGAGCCTTTCTATAAAATTAATCGAATTTTATTCCCTACGTGGTTTTTTAACCTCCTAACCGCTATATATGCGCTAGTAGCGTTTTATTTTGCCCCTAATATCCTTACTTTTATCCTCTAACTTAGCACCTACTTTAATCATTAACTTAACCTCCTTATCTATATTAGCCTCTATTTTTGCCTCCTATGAGTTAAGATAGGTTTCTCTAGCTACTAGAGCCTCAACTAGGTCTATAAATCATCGATTTAGGTTTAATACTATCTTTCTTTTTCCCCCCTTACTATAGCTAATATACCTACTCCTCTAGCCTAGTAATCCATATAGCCTAAATAACTACCTTTATCTCTAAAGCTTCTAGGCTCTTTTCTATCTTATTATACTTCCGCTTAGTTAGATAACTTCGGTATTTAGCTAAATCTTAAACCTAGCGGCTTATTTTTAGCGTATTATCTAAGTATAATTAAGGAGGGCTAGGCATTTTAAAATCTTCTAATAATTTTTCTTTATCTAATTAAATTTCTAGGTATATTAGAGCTTTATGATGATTTATTAGCTAATTTCTAATAAATCTCTAGTAGGATAAAATAATCTCTTTCCTTATACCTACCTCCCTGGCTTTTATATATATATAAATAAAGTTAGCTTTATTAACCGGCATAGAATAAGTTAAATTAGCCAGCTTTTAGAGTTCTTTCTAATATATAGCTTTAATAATATTAAAAATCCCATTATTTAATAGTTATAAACCATAAGAAAAATATACTAGTAGGTAATAGCAGTAGACGTTGTTCAGAAAGCACGCGGCCATCCACTTATCCTGACTGCTCGTTAGCGACCCTACAGCGGGTGACTCTGCGGCGGAAACACCAAAAGGCTCACCTGCGCATGGCTCCCGTGACTGTCAAGGATAATAAGTCTCGCATCCGATGCATCACGAGGCTCCGTTTGAGGTAGATAGACGTCTTTCAGCCACTCGAGAGCTATATGGTTGTCGGTCCAGCCGTTCGGTGATGTGATGTAGTGCCAGTCCGCTATCAACTCGAAATCCTTAAGTAACCACTGCTTCTGCAGCTCTTTCCCTTTGAAGATAATTCCTGGTTTTAACGCACAGCCAGTTGCGGTGACAGCCTCAATAAACGAGGTCCAAGTACGCACGTTCCTCAAGGCATGAATGCCATCATGTCGCACTGAGCGTGCTGAAAGGATCAAGGATCAGGTAAAGAATAATGGGCAGCAGCAGTGTGTTAATTGATTGTTGTCTAAGGTTATCTCTTGTGCGGGGTATTCCATCCCGCAGGGTTACTTATGGCATACGGCTAGATTACTAACGCAGTTGTTTCATAAGGCCGTGAAGATCATGCCTACCCTGCGACATATCATTTGGGAATGAAAACATCGCCCAGTGGTTACCGGGATTAGCCACTGGGAGAGCGGATCCTTTTGACACAACGAACCAATCGCTCGATGTTTTTCAGGCGGGGATATTAGTGGCGCAGGGAGACACGACTTGGCCAAACCCTTGTTTTTCTTTGCCCGCCTCCGATTTTCGGTTTTTTTTTTTTTACTATTATTTATTTTTATATTATTATACTAACTATTAGGAGCCTATATTTTATAAAAATATGCCTTCGTTATACAATTAAATATGCCTCTATCTCCTAAGTGCGCAAACACCTCTAACCAGGTCACGACGAGGGGTTCAATCTAATTAGAAGGCGCCAAAAAAGGATATATAATTCCTCTGCTAAATTAGGTAATAATAGAAGTCCTAATAATACTTTATATTATAAATCGCAATATTATAAATACGGCATCTATAAGAGGTCTAACTCCGCATATCCGGCCTCTTTATCTTCTTCTTTTCCTTACTGCTACTAACCTCCGTAAGAGGGCTCTATTCCGGGGCTTTTATTCTTAGCTACCCCTGCCGATAGCCCTAATAGGCTAGGCAATCTAACTTTACCTTGCGGTTAATATAATTAATCTTACGATCGATATATTCCCTCTATAATTCGGGTTATTATAAATTATACTTATCTCCGGCTTAGTAATACCTCCTTACTTAATTATTATAGCTATAGGTATTAAATAATTTATTATAAATATACTCTCGCTACTCCCTTTAATTTATATATCTCTTCTAATTTAGCTATAGTTCGTGAAGTTAAGCAATATAGCTATTAATAAGAGCTATATTAAGGAGGAAAGTCTATATAAGTACCTACTATAGTTTATAGTATAGGGGATAATTATACTTATAATAAGACCGCAATTAATCACCACGGTTAATATAATTCATTTAGTCGTTATAAGTAGTAGCTACTATTAGTATATTAATCTCTTTAGTAGCTTTATTACTAAAAAAAGGGCATATTAGCTTAACTTCTAACTTCCGTAATAATAGCTTCTTCTTTTATTAGACGATATGCTTATTATCGGCGCTAGTAAATATAGTAATTAAAAATAATATAAGCTTATTATCTTTCTAAGGGATTTAATTAACCTATAGATATAGAATAAAGATAAATTAATAGGGATTTCTTAGCTAAAAATGCCTAAAGCTAATACCTAGTTATTAGGGGTTAAGATCGCCTTAATAGTATTAAATTCGTATATTTTTTTAACCTTACCGTTATTATTCTTATTATCTATTAGTTCTTAGTTAATGCCGCTATTTATATAAGCCATGCCTATAGCACCGAAGCCATAGCTATGGAGGTTATAGAAGAGGGGAAATAATAAGAAAAGGTTATCTATAAATATATAATATATCGCTTCTAGTAGTATATTTATAAGGGCAATAATAATAACCTAAGTTAAATTCGGTATAAAAGATTTATCTTCTATACTAGGGGCTTTAGCTATAACTTTTCTTCGCTTGCTTAGCCGACCTTATAATAATGATTTCTACGTTGAAATTTTATTGCTAATAGCACTATATAGTTTCTCCTTAATATGCTAAATCCACCGAAAAAAGAAGCCGCATTAAGCGATAACTTATATCTTAAAGCCCACGGGGTTAAGCTTACTTTTAATAACCGTTATATTGTCGCTTTTGCCGGTATAATAGATTATATACTTATCGACGGCAAGGTAAGACCCGGGCCGGAATATCTGCATAGATATGGCTTATATATAGTTAGACTACTCTTTAACGCATTAGAATACCTTCGGAATAGGTATAATTTCGTTATATTTAGTGTAGTTAAAGGGACAAAGGTGCCTATAGATAAGCTAAAACTTATTATATGAGATAAACTTAATAAATAAGTGCGTAAGATATTAATCACCGGGCTTAGGGGGTTTCTAATAGCTTCGTATTATCTTTTCTTTATATATACCTATATAAATTAGCGCACTAATCGTCGTTAATACTAGCGTTCTATATAAGTAAAGTAAGTAAAATTTTTAGGCTTACTTACTTACTTATTAATAAAATCCTTATTTATTTGCCACCGCGAACTATTTACTTATTCTACTTACTTACTTATAAGTAAAGTAGATCTATATATAATAACTAATTATTATAGAGCATGGTATCCCGATTTACCCTAGGCTTTACCCGGGAAATCGCATTACTATGTGCCTAGTTTCTAAGGCATTATAATGCCTCTATAGTAACCTAGTATAAGGCGTTCGTTTATAAAGATATAATAAGCTTTGCGGCACTAAAAATATATTTATTTTCGCTAGATATAGCTAAGATAGAAACTAAGTCTATAGCTATATTAAATAACCGAGGGAACTAAGTCTTATGGCTAAGCTACTATTATAGTAATTATAACCTAAAATATTTATTTATTTATTACCGTAAAACCTCTAGGGCGGATAGGCAGGGCTTACGGTTTTGCCCTACTTACTTAGATCTTACTTACTTACTTACTTCTTAGAGGCTTTACTTACTTACTTAGCTACTAGGCTTATTTACTTACTTATTACTTACTTACTTAGTTACTCACTTATAATTACTTTACTTATGTAGAACGCTAGTTAATACCTCTGAGACCGTTGTTCCTTCCTATTTGTATAGTTTTGAAGTCCGCTCTATCGGCGTATTCTAGCTATTAATAACGCCGTGTTCTTTGAGCCATATAATCTAGGAATTTATATAAGATACCTATTTCTTAATGAGTAATATAGGTAGAAAAAGCTAGAATAGTTATAGAGGCATTAGAGGTAGTATATTAATATAAAAAGGGTGTATTTTTATATAGAAAGGCTCAAAGTTAGTACCTTAATTATTTTTAGCCGGAAAATCAATAGCGCGCATAGGGTCATTTAGCTATAGGCAGCGACTATGCTCCTCCCTGATAAAGCTCCTATTATTATAGGGGTTAAT